TTTATGAAACGGCGAGCGCGGTCTCTAGGGTCTGATTTAATTGGCCGCTTGAATAAATTATTAGTGCCCGTCACTGCTCGCAACTCCATCGTTACATTCAGTCGAGTATAGGATTATTGCTGCCGAGGGTACTCTTGCGCATGATTGCAACCATGTTTAATATTTTATGCTGAGGGCAGATACTCAAACGCTAACGAGATTTCCCAGCAAATGAAGCGTGCGAGCGATGAAGAGGTCAAGCTTCATAATGATAATAAAATGCACTGTTGAGGTTCGTTTAATTAAAATGTAAATGTGATGTATTAGTTTGATATTTAATTTCATATTTTATTAAACGATTTTTAATTTTTAATACATTAAATCATTAATTAAAACAAGGGGAGACAAATTGATATAATTTGATATATATGATTTATTTCTAAGATTTTGTTTATTTTCTGATTAACGTATTTTGATTAAAAAAAATTGCTGTTTTTTTTAAAATAGGAAAATATTTTAACTTACGTAGTTCAATTTTACAGTCTGTGGACATTGATTTATAACAAGAACAAATTTGAAAAAAAAATGTCCAGCAGAATCCATTGCTGATTGATTACTTGAATTTGTATTGTGAGGGGAAATTTAAATTTTAAAATAGCAAAATTATAGCTCACCATTTAATAAAGCGATAAATTTCCCTATGTTGCTGGTTTAACAATTAAGCTTCAAATTAGGCTCGCAATTTTGTCTGCCGCTCGCACCAAATCCATAAAGCTGCAGACAAATGTAGCTTGTTGTCATGCAAACACTTGACGGCAATTTCGAAAGCAGGTGCCAACAATGGTTTAGCGCTCGGAGGCGGCGGCGTTGGTGGCAAACGACCAAGGCAGTAAAGCACGGCGGCTGGGACAAAGACGCTTGGCTTCGGGCGGGGGTTTATTAAAGGAAAGGGAGCGCCTGCCGGCTGCCATTCGAACATATATGCAATGTTTTACTGCACAAACAAGCAATTAAACTGGCTGACAATGAGAGACCGAGTGACATTTAATAGCTCACCAGGCATCGTAATGACGTGCACACACATATTTGCACACGACAGAGTTCATTCAGCCTTTGAAGAGCACCAGCGGGCATTATGCCGATACCGACCATACTTCCTATCAAACGAACTGTCGACCGAGCAAATATCATAGGTGGGTCGGATTTGCAGCTCTGCAAGATATAGATCCGGATGTCAAGAGCTGTGCTTTGATCGTAGTCATGACCACGAAGCCATAATCTGTACGTTGCCCCGCAGGTTCATTAACCAGGCTTACGATTCTCTGTTCGCTCAGTACCCACTAATCATGATAACTTTCAAGTAGCGTATATATAAAAAAAATAAAGATAAACTCAAGCCTTGAGCTGAAATCGTTGTAAAATGAGCTGCGGGTTCGTTGTATTATTCATTTATGCCTCGCCCTGTTTAATGCCTGGGGAATTATTTTGCTCTCCTAGAACGCGTGCAGCGATAGTTGTTCCCCTTTCCGATGGAATTGCCCTTTCCTGGTTGAAATTCTGTCGGCGCCGAGTGCAGGAAGCAGAATCGAAGAGGCCTCTTGTATAGACAGTAATTTGACTGGAGATATTTGGCGGTGCACGGGACTGGATGTGTGTCAGGTGGGTGGTGAATTTCGAGGGCACGAGGATAGCGTGAATACCGTCGGGCATTTCCAACGCCCACAATTGATGGGTAAGATAAAACGGCGCAGGGGCTTTCAACTCTTTTGTTCACAAGGGGCAGACATACTGACTTGTACATTCTTTGTTTCTTTTGTTTTATTAATTTTAAAAAATTTATCGGTTAAATGTTAGTGAAAAAAATTTGAATATTTTTTATGTTATCAATAGAATCAAATTTATTTCTATTGATCAAATTTCAAATTGAAGTAATCTAATTTTGTGTGCCATTTATTGTAAAAGTAACGACATTGTTAAATGGAATTTATGTTTAAATAATTTAACATAAATCTCTATTTTTATAAATTCATTGTGGTTTGTGAGAGAATAAAAGTATGGAATTGATTTTAACTTCAATGCCAGATGCGCCCCTGCGAGCTCACCTTTCTCTGCATTTCGTGCCGAACGAGAGGTAAATTTGCCGGTAGCGAGCGAGACCCACCCACATCGCATGCCTCTTTCTCGGAGGTTCAGAAGTCTCGGCGGGGCTTTAACTCGCTTTTGCACGGCCGTATAATAATTGGGTCATCTTCTCCGCTACCACGGATTCGTCTTTGAAAGTGATGCATATAATGTTTCTTTAGAATGGACGCCCGTTTGACTTGCAGCTCCTCTCGACCGCGCCCTTTGATATCTCTCGCCACCGAGAGGCAAATTCATGCAGGATAACTCTCGCTCCACTTGTCGCGACCCATAATGGACAATTTGCTTGGCGTCTGCAATTAGTGCCGAGAACGGCCTTGAACTCAAAGCAAGACCTCAAACCTTTCCATTTCGCTCTAGAGCAGAGACGGGGGCTGGCGAAATTCGATTTGCCCAACGTCTTGCCAGCTTCAAAGAAATCTCGGCGGGGTTTTCCTTTGCAGGTTTCCATAATTAGCATAAGCCAATAAAAGGAGCCGACAAAAAGGTCTGCCGTAAAGACGCTTATTTTCAGTCAATTTAATCGAGATTAATTTTGAGCTCGTCCCATTTGAAAGTTAAACGTTACGAGCTTTTGTACGTAACCCTGGGCAAAAGTTAACTGCGCACGAGATAAGCTAAACGAAAAAGTAATTAAGTCTCCTTTTCACCAAATCGAGCTTCTGGAGATAAAATCAGCAGAGGCTAATCACGCGAGTCATTCATTCCTGAGCGGAATTGGCCATTCGCGGGAGAGATGAGAGCGTGGTCGAAACAATATTGGCCCCCGAAGCGAATTTCCAGCCTACAAGAGGCTTAATTAAAGCAATAAATTGGGGCCACTGCAACTATATACATTTGTATATAAAAAGATGTGTGTGTATCTGCAGGCGTGTTTTGTGATGCTGCGGTTTATTTCGCTTGGCGGACCCTCGGGCATTCCGGCGCTTCGATCTAAATTCTCTCGGGTACAGGCAAACGCCAAACAAACTCGACAAGACGAATCGATAAAATCCATTAAAAATTTAGCCAAAATCAGGGCTTTCTGATTTATTCGTAACGGCCCCCTGCATGTTTTTCATCTATTGGAGATGTGGAAATGCGTGTGGTGGCTGAATATTTTAATATTTTACGATGTTCCCACTGGTGAAAACACAGCGCAGAAGTTATTGGCTCGCTCGCATATTTCAACCCTATAGTAAATCAATAGCCTTGGCAGACATCCGCTATGCTGCCATGAATGATGCAAACCCAAAGTACGTCTTTTTTGTTCGTTTACACGACGCGGGGAATATTTCTTTTTGTACACGTCAGCCTTGTATCGCGTTCTGAAATTGATGAATATTTTATCGAACGAAAAAATATTATAACAATATTGATCAACACAAGAATGTTCGTTTGGATCAAATTTGACCCGGCAGTAAATTCCCAATAGCAATTCATAGATATTGCTAGCAATTCACGCTGGTTGAGCACATTCACGTGATATGAACGGATCAGTTTTGCAGAGTTGCTCTGCTCACTTGCAGCCGAATTTCCAACCTGGGGCGTAGTGCAAGCCAACCGAACTCGTTATTTCCCAAGTGAGGGCCACTGCGATGAAGCGAGTAGGCTATTTGCCGAGCACATGTGCTGTGCGGTGCTGTATACCTAACAGCTAGCGGCGGCTCTGCGTATTCATTGCAGCGGCGGTGGATGAGGAATATTTCCAAGTGAAATTTCCTCCAGACTCTTTTCCCACAAGACAGGCTCGTAATAAGCCCACTGTTCATATTTTCGTATTATCCAGCATCTGTTGCTTCTGCCGGGTCCTGGTTTTGTATGCGGGTCGTCGGCAGAGTTTCAGTGGTGAAAGAAGGAGAAGGGCAAATTGAGATTTAGGACTCGTGCCACACCATTGTTTGAACTTCGGCCTTAAAAGACGATTAAGAGTGTTTTTCTTTTCACTTTAAGTATTCTCTTTTCTCTTTTTTTCTTATTCAAAGCAAGTAAGGAGAATTTTTCAGTCATTAATTTCAAAGAAAAACACTTCCTTCCATAATAAAGATGGATGTTATAATATGACGTAGCAATCAAAAAGGAAAATAACATCTCCTCTCAATTTATGAGCCATCAAATGATCTGTGAAAATGCGCAGATTTTTTTATGGTCCATAAAGTAGAATTGTTAAAAACTGATATAATATACAGTATTAGTAACTTGTCATGAGATAAAATACATATTATTCAAAAATGAGCATATTGATATAATTCACACCCACTATATCAGCACTTTACTAAAGAACCAAAATATGAAAATAAAAATAAATATAAATAGATGCATTCACTTGAAAAAACGCAATTCACAGGAAAAAAATCGTTATTAATGAAATAGAACTTGCATTATTATTATAATTTATAATAGTATTATTTCAGTTATGTACTTTTTTCAATAACGTGCGTGACCCATGTTTATTAATTGAGTATGCAAAGAAATTGTATTTTGAGACTTGAGATTAGGCTGTAAAATCGTGCCCAATTTTTAGCGCGCATTGATATTTTGTTGTATCATTTCCTGTGCCATTTTTCCGCAATAGACTTTCACTCCAGAGCCCGAAATAGGCGCGGTGAAAAATAAACCCAGCCGCCTTTTATGACATTTTTTACCGAACGACATTTTTTACAATCCCGGTGGATATCACGTCCACGTGCTCTTCTGGAAGCAGTGAAACCCCATCAGGAGATAATGGAGTCGTAAGGGGTGCGCGCACTCGCATCCCTCTAACAAAAGGGTCGCCAGAGAGAGCTCGCGTCCGTGACAAATTGCAAGGTGCACAGGGGCAAAATTGATGACGAGACGCGAGCTGATTAATATCTGTGCTACATCAAGTAAGAGCCTAATTGAAGTCTTTCGTGTTGCAGAGTTGCAAGTCGCAGCCACACGCATCCAGGCAAACTTCCGAGGACACATGGCCCGCAAGCAGCAAGGAAAGTCAGATGACGAGCTCAGCAAGGAGCTGGAGAAGCTCGACGCCAAGGTAAACTACCCTCGGATAATTAACTGTTGGCCCGCAATTGAGTTTCGGTTGCCAAGCACGAATCTGTTTGCTTAGTTTGCTGTTGGCGAGTGGTTTTCTGTTCATTTCAAGCTGGCCTCCCTCCTGCAGCGTTGTGTGTTTGGCCGAAAATCAGATAGTTGGAGTTTGAATTTTCATTCCGCTTTTCCTCAGCGAGTTTTTAGAGTTGTTTATTGTTTTGGAGATAAACAGTGTCCTTCTCTACATGTTATGAAATAATGTATGGGCTGTAAATTATTAAAAAAAATTGCACATTAATTAATATTTAGACGTTTAAATACTAGCAATTTTTTTTGGACAAATGTTACTTATTTAAATTTTTTTGTCTCCTATAGATAATAAGCGACTAAAAACTTGCGAGGAAATGCCAAATTTTCATTCAAATCACAAGGTTTTGTATTGTATTTATTTATTTTCCATGGTAAATTTAGGTGACGTTATGATAATTAAAAAATTATATATCATAATGAATAAATTTGACCGTTAGAAAGCGTTTAAACTTCCTATGAACGTAGAATTTGATGAAATATATTACCGAGCTATAAAATATGCATTCCCTTTGTTGATGAAAAATTGCCAAATTTGTCCTTCTTGAAAAGGCTGTGTGAATTTTTCACGACACTCAAGCTGACTTTTTTGATCGCGTCAGCGCCAACTCATTTTTTTCCAGCGCCCGCTTTTTCCTTTTACAACCGAGCTTTTCCGGCCCAAAAACTAATAAATGGAGAATTTATTGCTTTGTCCAATAATAGAACGACATGAAAGAGAGGAAGAAGAGTTTCGCGCAGAGCCTCTAAAATTGATTTACCCCTCCCAGTTGCCAGCGTTAATCCGGCTGCATGTTGGCACATTTTTTATCATTATACCAGATGAAACTCTAGAAGATAGAAAAGAGGGCAAATTTTTTCCCCAAGACCAGCAGATTAAGAATAATAGCCGAGTTAAGATTGGGTTTCCTTACTGCGGTCGATATGAAATAGGCCCCTCTAATCCGCTGAAAATTGTGTCCCATTATCGTAAGGGGAAAGTCAAAACATGAAAATTGCCATCCACTGAAAGCAGGGAAAACTGTTCCGCTTACAAAGTGCTTCATTCATTGCTTTCCTACTCACATTGGACAATTACGCATAGAATGCATGAAAATTCGTGGCCTACTTCCAGGCTGATTCATTCCAAATATGTATTTATCCATCCCTATTACACGGCGATAATTTATCAGCCACTCGCGTTGACAGGCTAATAGATTATTCATAAAGGTCCGCGATGCATAGTTGAATATTTGTCCTTTGATTGATGTCCGCGCCAGCCCAATAAACAATCAACGGTTCAGATTGCATGCCATCCGATTTTCACGCGAATTCCCTATTGGAATTTCATCCGAAGAACTATTGTGGTGCATTTTATCCGAGAGTGCCAGCCACCAGCGTGAATCGGATTACCCTAATAAATCGCGCGCGCGGTGCTCATCAACCAAATGCAGTCTGCTCTCGGCCGCAATTCTAATTAATCAACAGAGTTGTCGTCTGACAGCCAGGGTAATGCAGAGCGAGCGTAGAATTTGTGGTGCTTATTTATTATAATGGATCGCGCTGATTCAGCATTATTTTGTCAACCGGGGGGTTCAGTGATCTCTGGGTCGATCGAATACTGAGGAAAATCGATGCGTCTGCTGGTCTGCTCCCCAGACTTTGAACCTTGATATAGTTAAAAACTTTAAAAGGAAAATCATTTTACAACTTCAATTAAATTTAAACATTTTTCGTCGGAGTGCTGATGAGAGCAACAATTTAAATTACGAACGAAATATTCAAGCGAAAGAGTTAATACAAATTTTCTTCTATTAATTTATCAATAATAATTTACGTATAAATTATGTTATAGAAATTTCTAAATATTTTAAAATTACATGGAAAAATATTAATTTACCCATTCTACCCAAATCCTACGGTGAAAGAGAGCAATCAGTGGAAGCAAACTATGTTTTTGAGATTGAAATCCCATCAAGTACATATTGCGAAGTTAAAAGTTAAATCTCCCATGTATCAGGAGTAGGTTTAAAATAAAATAGTGCTTATTTCTATCATGTTTAAACATGTCTCATTTCTGCGTAAAATTATATTATAGTATTCATTATTTTTTGCAAATTATATAAAAAATAACTAATCGGAAAATATTCAAATTAAAAAATATTCAATGTTATAATAATAAAGGATTAAAATATAAATATTTTCTTAATATCAAAATGAGTATGCTAAATGTGTAAATATAATTATATAATCTTGATATCGTGTTGAGCAGCATAATTTTTTTTTTAAATCTCTTTTTGCGTTTGGAATGTTATTCTTGAATTTTAATGCAACTTTAAAAACTCTATTAAAAAATTTAATGTTGGTTATGTTACTAATAATCGATTTCGTTTTTCAGGACGCCGAGGAAGAGTTGGACATTGACTTGACCGACCCTGACCTGCACAAGGCGGCGACCAAAATCCAAGCCTCCTTCCGAGGCCACAAAGTCCGCAAGGAGGAGGGAAAGCCAGAGGGCGATGAAAAGGAAGGCGGCGGCCAGTGAATAGCAGAGGTCGCGCACCCTTTCAAGCAACTTGGTCATAATCATTTACTCAACAATGTCCCTTGTTAGCTGAGCTGCCCTCTCACCTTCTTGCCCGTCCGGCAGCCTGCCTGTCCCCGCACCGATTGACGCCGGCGTTGTTCGACTTTCAAATTTCTAAGCGTGTCTCTCTGACTTGCCAGTCGTCAGCAGACATGTCTAAAAATTTACAGCGAAGCTCGATTTTTGCATTATAAAAAAAATCGAATCTGATTAAAAAGTCATCGGGTTGCGATTCGAGCTTACGTCGAGCAAATGGAGTGTCAAATAAGCGGATCAGGCAGGCTTTTGGCCGGAGCCACTTTGGTATCTTGCTTTTAATCGTGCGGAAATGTGACCTTTCCAAGTCGCGCAGGGCGCCTGGTTTTTATACTCAAATTTCAGGCGCTGCGCAGCACTGCAAGTAATATGTATATTCAAATAAACGAACCTCTTCTCTTTCTCTCTTGTAATACGAGACAGCTTTTAAAACTTCTATATTATTATAAATACAACATTAAAAGTTACTGTTAAATTATGAATAGCACTGATTATTACAACATTCCTTTAAAACTGAGAAAGGGTAACAACTTGCAGTTGGATCACACACGCAGTAATTGATATTATATAGGGAGAAAATTGTTTGATTTCAAAGAAATTAATTAATTACCTACGTGTTTAGAGATTACTCTCTTAAAGAGTTGGGCAGTAACATTATTAAAAGATGAGATTGAAATTTTGTCACATTCAAACTTCTCGCAGCAATAGAATTTACTTGGAAAAATAAGATTTCTGTATGTTGTTACAATGTTACTAAAAATAAATGAAAAAATGTGCTGTAGAAATTAACAATAATTAATTTCACATTTATTTCTGTATCAAATTCACCATCTTATTTGCTGTAAAGTTTTTCCAAGAAATAATTATTATTTTATTTGACAATACTGTACTATGAACGTTATTTTATATTTTCTTATGGATAATTCTAAATATCTCCAACTGTACAAGCCTTTGTTATTTACAGATCACAAGTAATAAAACTTTCTAATCCATCAAAAAAAAATTTGTTTGAAGAAGTTGACACTTGGGTTAATGAAGGAAGTGAAGTACTCGGCGGGCTATTTCCTTGTTGTAAAAATTGTTTTATTCAAAAACAGCAAAATACAGTTTTGGTCAGTTTCGCAGTTTTTATGGTTATACTCCAAATTTAAGAAAATTATATTAATTACAATAATCAAAATAAAAAGTAGCAAGAGCGGTATTTCTCAAAGATGCCAGAATGCATCATAAAAAAACACACACAAATAAATATTGATTATTACTATTGCTGTTGCTTATTCTTCACATACATAGTTTTATTTTTTGAAAAAAAATTTACAAAATATATTAAATAAAAATAAAATAAAATCATATGGCTAACTGCAAAAATGATTGTGATTAATGGAAAGAGGGGTCTTTCCTCTCATCAAATTAATTAAAACTCTTGATCAAACTCGATATTTCAATATCATTTTATTGTCCCAAACATTAAAAAAATAGCATTCTATATTAATGTGGTCTTTTGAGAGAGACATAATTTTAAACAAAATATTTTTGTCGACCATACCGCTTCTATGCAGGCGCACTTAATGTGCGTTTTTTTTTTTTAGAACACACACACTTGTGGAACGGCTCGCAAAAATTACCAAGAGCCGTATAATGAAATTAATAAATAAGCTTTCATGAAAATTACAATAATGCGACGAGCAAGAAATAAATTTCATATTTTTTCACCAACTTGGTAATAAAATATTTCTAGTAAATGTGTTGCAAATCATATAATATAATTATGGAGTAAGTACGTCGCACAACGAATATTAAAATATAATAATTTTTCCAATTTTTCTTTAAACTTTTAGTTCAGTTTATAATTGTAATTAGTTAAGATTAAATTTAGTTAAATAATGTTTACATTCAAATTAATTTTTTCATTACATTTTAAATTAAAAAAATATTTAAAAAAATTTCAATTTAGTATAACTAAATTATGTTGGTATTGATGGTTCAAGTTGGCAGCTTTGGTGGGCGTAAATCTCGTATCTTATCTCGTCAGCTTGTCGGGTGTCTTGACATCAGGAGGTGATTTTGTCTGCAAATTCCGTCGATTTCGGCGTTTTGTGGGCCGCTGCGTGGTGGTTGTGAGCGAAGGGTACGACTTCGAGAGGTCGAGATGCTTCAGGATGACAGTCCGGACGCCTCAGAGCAAAGCGCCGTTAATAAAAAGGTACTAAACACGTTGCAAACCGGCACCTCAATTATGCCAAAATCGGCTCTAGGCATTGGAACAATTATCGAAATTCCGTTCTCTTTCCAGTCAAACAAGTCTGAAACCGTGGATTTGACGGACAACTCATTGGTGGTCGATATTTCTGACGCGCTGAGCGAAAAGGACAAAGTCAAGTTCACCGTGCACACCAGGGTTTGTAATCATATCATGTTTTTTCCTTTCCTCAATTGTTTCTGTCCGAGCAAAATTATAGGCTTGGCTGCTGGAGAATTTATGCAATCAGATAAAATCGCTGTCATGTGCCTTGAATAGATTCCTTAAGAAATATAATGTATTCGTGTGGTGCTCTGCTCTCATTTTCTAGGCGCAATTAATGCATTATATATGCACATTTTACACCACTTTGCTTGTTTATTTGTTAATACATAACTCATTCTAACTGGATGGATTCGTTGAAGTTTAATCATATAAGTTCAAAGATCATATTCATGTAGTAAGGATTGTTTAAAGCTATATTATATTTACATACACAAAAGCATATTATTATTTCCTGTTTTAAGTACGTAAGTTTAAATCTTTTGATAAATTACAGTAAATTTTTAGTATAAAAAATAATTTTCAATATGAGCTTATATTGCGTATCTCTTTTGTTAACTTTTACTCTAAATCATTTTGGCTTTAAGGATGCGCATATTATAGAACTAATATTCATTCTTGTTCAATCTTATCTTCCAGACTTCACTTCCGGAGTTTGCCAAAACAGACTTTCTTGTTGTCCGACAGCATGAGGAATTCGTGTGGTTGCACGATCGATTTGAAGAAAACGAAGACTACGCTGGATACATTGTAAGAAGGTTTTTTTACCGTTTTCTTTATCTACATCCCACATAGTGAGAGCTTATCATTTTAACTTTGAAGTTGTCCTGGAAAAAAAACAAGTAATAACAAAACTGAAATCTATAGATTCCACCTGTTCCTCCAAGACCTGATTTTGATGCGTCGAGAGAAAAACTTCACAAGCTTGGCGAGGGAGAAGGAACGATGACCAAAGAAGAGTTTGCAAAAATGAAACAAGAGCTCGAGGCGTGAGTCATCATCACAACTATTAATTTTACTTGTGACACTCATAATTTGTTTACTTCTATAGCGAGTATTTGGCGACCTTTAAGAAGACTGTTGCCATGCATGAAGTGTTTCTTATCCGCCTTGCAAATCATCCCATCTTCCGAAATGACCATTTCTTCCGTGTCTTCCTTGAATATGACCAAGATGTAAGAAAAAATTATCTAATTTAAGCTCTTAATGTGCAGCATTGATAATTATAATTTTACAAACTAATGAAATTTAGAGTTGATTTTATTGATGTTTTTAGGCTAAGTTTTTTGTTTGATTTTTCCATTTTTGGAATGGATAAATAAATTAAGACACCCTTTTCTTTCTGAATATTGTAATATAATTATCATAATTATAATACATTGAGCACTAAAACCAATAGCATAGAATTTCTTATAAGTAATTCATCGATTAATTTATTATTACAACTTTTGCAGCTTTGTGTAAGAGGCAAAAACAAGAAGGAGTTGTTTGAAGGGCTTGTGAAGTCGTTTTCAAAATCGTCAGACGAGCTTCTTCTGTCGGCCACTCAGAAAGACAACGATGAATTTTTCGAAGCAGAGAAAGATTTTTTGCTCGAGTACCACTCACACTTGAAAGATGCAACGGCCAAATCTGATAAGCTGACCAGCAGACATCAAGGTAACAAATAATTTATTTCCACGGTGGCTAACTAAAATTTCTACATATTCAGATGTGGCAGACTCGTATATAAAAATTTCAACTGGTCTCAATCAGCTGGCCACCAGTGATCACTCCGATTTGGAAAAATTCTTCACTAAAGTGTCTGACACCTTCGAAAAAGCAAGAGTATGTCCACAAACTTGTGATCGATACAAATTTTAAAAATTCTGTTTACAGAAATTGGAAGGTCGAGTGGCGTCCGACGAGGATCTGAAACTTTCGGACACCCTGCGCTACTACATGAGAGACTCATTTGCTGCCAAACAGCTCCTATACCGGCGCCTAAGGTGCCTTGCCGATTATGAGCAGGCCAACAAAAACCTGGACAAGGCCAGGACTAAGAACAAAGACATTCATGCTGTGAGTATTATAAAAAATTGGCAAACGTTAAAACACGCTTCATGTTTTCCATTCGCACTCTTATCGCTATCAAGGCTCAGGAAGTAATTGATGTGAGTAATCAGAAGGTTCTAAAGAACATTTTGCCTTTGAAATGTGTAGAGACCCAATCTTGATTGTTCTGCACACTTGTCTGTTTGTCTCCCCTAAAGTAGATCAAAAGTATTAGTTGTAAGCAGTAGGACCTGAAAGGATCAGTTTCCGTAAAAATACTAGGCGTTTTTCTTATAGAGCCTAGATGTGTTAAAGTTGTTGAATTTTGGAATAATTGTTTTTCACACATTGTTTGACAATTAATTTTTTTAGGCTGAACTGGCTCAACAACAAGCCTGTGATAAATTTGAACAGATATCCATAAAGGCTAAAGAAGGTAGATCAAGTTGTTAAAATATTTTAAGGCAAGTGCATTCATTAAATATTCCTTTACAGAATTGGTCGAGTTCAAAAAGCGTAGAGTTGTAGCTTTCAGAAAGAATTTGGTGGAGATCGCCGAACTCGAAGTCAAGCATGCAAAGGTAACGAAATTACATTATTTTGATAATTATTGAACTTAAATAAAAGTTCTTTTATTCAACAAATTAAACAAATTGGAACAGATGTAAAAAATTTATGTTTAAATTCATTGCCTTGTTACAAATAACTTTTAGATTATAGTTTTTTAGTAATAAATTGTACTGATGAATATATTTTTTTACAGGCGCAGGTTCAGCTGCTCAAGAACTGCCTGGAGAGCTTGAAAGAGGAGATGGAATGATCACCGCTGATTGCCACAGCAAGGAGGGCGGAGCCTTTGAGCCTCAGTCCCCTTGCTGAAACTTGCACCAGTTACATTTGAGGCCTGCTGCTAAATTAGGACTTGCTATTCTCCATACAGGTGTGTCACGATAATCGATTTTTGCTATATTTCTAAAACCAGTGCTGCTGGTTGTTGTTGAGTCTCAAAATTGTTTCAAAACCAGCACGTCCAGCCTGGAAAACCAAAGCAACTCAATCATCAGACTGCTCTTTACTTTTAGAACCTAAATAAATGAAAAATTGCTTGGTTTTCCATAATTTCTGTGAGGTGGGTCAATTTTCTGTTTAAATCCACTATTTATGCCATTTTGAGTGAATTTCTCTTTGGCATGGCACTCTTTCTCATTGCCATAGGAGTCCAACTAATTTTCCGTGCTATAGAATGAAGTTGAGAATATTGTTGGTGCAATTTGAATCATATTTTAAACATTCCTTCATTCTGACAGTAATGTAGTGTAGCTTCCATTAATTGGCTTTCATGTCCATAACAAAGCCAGATCACTTTGTAACATTCTTTAAGCGCTATCGTGTCGCCTCTTCTCAAGTTTTAATGATCATCGTTTATAAAGTTTGGTCTGTCGATGTTATTATTTTAAGAAAAGTATATTTTTGAGCAGTTTATTTGGCATGTCTCAGATGTGTGAATGATGTGTCACCAAATGGTAAATCTAATGCCTAGTAAACGATTTATGACCGTATTTAAAGAGTGTTTCTTAATCAATTCTTTACATTTATATTTTGTTATTATTCTAAATTAAAAGTCTTATTCATCTATTCTTTATATTGGAAATTTCAGGAATTATGTGTTAAAAACTTGTATGGCTGATGAAAATCAGGTGATATTGAATTTAATAAAAATACAGATCATAATTTGAAAGGATTCGCTTCTTTTCCTGCAACCTTGGACGTTGCTGCACTTATTGTTAGTGCAATAATTTCCCAGCAAATTGCATGCAAATGACGCGCAAGTGACGAGAATTTTGAAGAGGATTATTGTAATTGACAGTCCTCCATTTGTGCCTGTGTGACGAGACAAAATTTAATATTGCTGCAAACAAAAGAATTGTGTGCAAGTTGAGGGGTACGTTATTTTGCCAGATTTTTTTTATCATTAGCATCTGAATGTTGTATCATGCGCGTTTTCATTTTTGTTAACTTCGACAGGGGGTATTGTTAATAAAAAAAGGGGCTACAACAATGGTCACTGATAAACTGTGAGGGGTGCTTTTAAGGAAGAAATATTATTTTGTGGACTGAATGAGTGTGTAACACACGATCTCATCAACTGCATTACACAAACTGACGATAATACATGCTCTGTGCATTTGATCAGATAAATTCGTGGCAAAATAAGCAAGGTATTGAATTTCAATGAGCGCTCTTTACAGCACAGCCAACTTTTAAATAATTTTGCCTTTCTATATTAATTTTTGTAAATAAAATTCGATTAGCAAAGCAAAATGTTTAATTCTAAATTTTTTTGGTTGCAAATTATAATATTTTACAGGTTTTTTCTTATTTCAAATGAAAAATATAAACGCAATTCAATACGAATATTGAAAACTTCTCAATTGCTGTTTTACAACCCCACACGTTTCACTGTTGAAAAATTCCATTCCCACGCACCTTTCATGCTTGGGTATACCAGTTGACCACTTGAGGATACTTTTGTGGGGCTGTTATTTGACAACCTAACATGGCAAGTCTTGTTCATACATATTTTTGTCTAGCATGAGCTTTCCATTCCTTTTAAAAATATGAAGCTGCGTCAGGAAGTTTTTTTTCTAAAATTATTTCCCAAAAGTGAGATTTTTTAATAATAATAATAATAATAATGGTACAAAAGTTCAATATTTTAAATTTTTTTGCAATTTTATCAACATATGCTTTCTTTTTAATATTGAAGCAAAAAATCATTCACTTCTTGTGTGGTTTGTACTGAGCTAAAATCTTAAACACTCAAGACTGTGGAGGATAGAGGCGATAAGCATTATAGTTACTGTTATAAAATTTAGTTTTGACGAGAGTTTTATTTCAGCTATATCGCTATGATAGCCGTTTCTAGTTAACCTCATTAGTATGCAATTGGCTGCCTCTCGAGTGGCTCATACACTTGAGATGACATCATCCCTTTTATTTCGTATTATTTGACCGGCAGATTGAAATTCAAAAGACGTGCCGCGCGCAACCCAAATCCGTCATCCAGCAAACGCTTTGTGTAAAGGAACGTGCAAAACGCGGATGAACAAGGAAACCGCGAATCAATATTCACTATCCATGTTTCACTATATCAGCAATCAATTTATTAATTTTATGACTTGTTTCTCTAGATATCAGGTTGTAAAATATTAAATTCTTGAACATCTTTTGCAATTAAACGTGTTTAGAACATTAAAGAAGTAAAACAAATTATATTTAGACAGAAATTTAATTATTTTATGAAACTATATTTTAATAATTTTTATTAAAGTATTTTTCAATCGATGGTTGATTCATAATAGTATTTGAATTAATATTAGGCTTTTCTTCAATGATTAGGCACATTACGGTTTTCTGTCAGAAATTGTTTTGAAAAATTTTAATTTAAAAAATCTGTTTAAAAAAATGTTTTTTATAAAATTTATTTATTTAAAAAGAAATTATTCAAAAGAAATTGGTCATGATCATGAATAAAGAATTAATACTATAATTATGCCACAAGAAACCCATGAGCCAGAGTTGTGGTTTTACTTCAAAATTAAACATCACAGGGTCTGTAATTAAAGATTACAGATGATTCATTACGACAATGAGCAATAAGCACGATGAAATTAAAACTTATATTGTGCTAAAACGTAATAATATGATGTCACATACCGGCATTTTTTTTACCCAGCAAAGTGCTGAAGTGAGTAACATGATTTTTGCGGTTGAACGTGAATTAATTTTAATTTATGCCTGAAATTGTTGTAGCTAAAAAGACTCGTTCATTTATTCAACATTCAATACATTGAAATACACAACATCTTGCATCAATTCAATACACAAAAATTAATAAAAAAAAAACTGAAAATACATGTGAAAAGAATTTTATTGGTCAGAGGGGTGAATAGAGGAATGACTCTTCATGAATATATCTGATCTTTTTTATTATTTTTTATGATTTTTATTGATTAGCAGAAAACATAAATATAAATTATATTATTAAAATAACAAATCACATAAAGTATATATTGATTTAAAGGTAAGGTACTGCAAATTAAGCTCGTGCCTCTTACATTTCAAAATTTTATATTGTACTGGATTCGATTTTGATTGCATACGCAATATTATTATTTAATTAATGAGAAGCTGCATTATTATCTGAGAGATAAAAGGCGGCGCACAAGCGAGATGGCGCACGAGAGTGGAGAACTTGGTGGAGAAGAGCAGCAGTGAACGAGCGTGACGTCACCGCCCCCCCTGCCGGCCGGCGTTGCGGCAGCTGCCGCAAAGCGCGGCGCGACCCTCAGCCTTTCTCAGTGCGCATAGTGCATCGAGAGTTGCCGGTTGAATCCTGATTTCTCTGAGTGTGCCTCAGCTGGAAACACAGGCCCCTGCACCCGGCACAGGATAATTTATCGAACATTTCGATCATGAATCGCGCTCTGTGGCTCCTGCTTCTCGTCGGCGTGCAAGCAGCCCTTCTTCCTGCAGGTAAGATCAAATTTATCAGGACTTTTGCAGGGGCAATCAAGTGATTGAACAAGTTAAGGGATGATATAGAGAGATTTGAAGAAAATTTTCCTGGAATTCGATGTACAGTTTATTTAATCAGGAAATTTTTGAAACAGAAATTTGTAATAACGAAGAAGGTGTCTCAATTACATGTAGCGAGGTTTAAGTAAAAATTAATTATAATCATTTTGCTTGAGAAAATATAATGTTTTGAACTGTTAATATTTTACTATAATAAGAAAAAAAAACAATAATTAAATAAATAAAAATTCTTTAGAAAGTGAGAGTGATTCAAATTTCCAATTTTAAATATTAAATCTTAAAATTACAAAATACAATTTTTCTTTTAAGTCTTTGACCCTTCATTTTTATTGTGGAGGCACAAAAAAATCAAGGTTGTTTCTATATTTCCACACGCTTTTAAATTTTAAACACACAAAAAGTTCCTCTCATTCGGCAATTTTTACGTCTTTTCACGCCAACATAAATGAAGAAATTAGCACCTAAACAGCAAACACAGTTTTAAAGCTTGAGATCTGCGAAAGAAAAGGCGGTTCGCTGGTAGAAAATCGAGCTGGCAGAAAAAACGAATCACACGTAAAACGACAAAGCCAGGTCGACTACTCGGAAGCAGCAACAAAAACGAGGATCGCGTGACCGGCCGGCATAATTTGCGGCCGCTCTTTTTAACTCGAGTGTATGCTTTGGGCTCCGAAAAAAGCGCCAACAGCGGCTCTGATCCGCACCTTCAATCGCGAAATTAAGTTAAAGTTTAGAGAGAGAGGCGCTCATCCCTATAGCCGCAGTTGCTAAGCAACAAGGCATGCAAAAGCGGCGTGCGAATTGAAAAAAAAATCGAAACTTGTATTGGGAGATGCGTCGGTGCGGCGGCATGAGAGCGAAAACATAATAGAAAAGGAAAAGCCGGCCGGCGCGGAATGGAACAACCCGTGCAGAAAATTGCATCGCTAACGTGCGTGCAGTGCGCGACTAATTTGGCGAGCGCAATGTTGTGATTAAAACACAAGTGCAGTGGAGATAAGGTGGATGACCTTGGCCAATGCTCGTTTTTATGATTCCATATAATTATTTTATATTCATTTAACTTCATTTTGTATCAGATAATTAATAAAAATCCTTTATATTCAAAATTATTATGAAACACGATGTTCACTGGTCAATGCAAACTATTATTTTTTCTTTAAATTTGTTTTTTATTTATTTAATTTATCATCATAACATAATTATCTGTTTGTTTAGATATTTAGTTTAAGTGAGTTTAAGAATGATTAGGACGTCCGATCTTCTTATGTATTATTATTACTAATATCAATTATTTGCGTAGTCAATGCATTGTCATGAAGAAATATTTTTAGTGCTATATAATTTTAAATTTAATAATATTATAATTTTGAAGATGATGTTTTAATTTCTCAACCAAAAAAATTATAGTAATAATGAATATTTATAACTGATATTTATAAAATTGGTACCTAATTTATTGTAATTAAAAAACTAACAATATGGCAAGTAAAAGTAACAGCAATAAACTATATTTTTTAATTAAACAATTAAAAACCAAATTATAGACGAAATCACTAATTTTAAGAGCAAAGGAATCCAGGCTCGTAGCAGAGAAAATGAATTTTGGCGCTATGATCATCGTTGGTGCGGCGGCGAGGGTGCGACATATAATTTAATTCACTTGCCCCCCACGAAGCATCATTACTCGCCCTGCATGTACCAGTAATCGAGATGGGGGTTGCCGGGAACACGTAGTTAGTCGTGTCGTCCCACTCGGCGGCTGCAGCTGCAGTTGATCACTTTAATTAAGTATTGAGTTCGGCTCGCGCGCCACTCGCGCAATTCATGCCACGCCATGTCCGCATTAGCCGGCCGTGATTTATTTTGATCGGCCCCAGCACCGCGAGCACGAAAATGCTAATTATCGCGGAGCACAGGGAGGGGCCGAGTTGATTAAATTAGCAGAGTCTCATCTCCAAACAAAATTTGAGTAAATTGGCCGTTGGTTTCAAAACAGTCAATAACATCTCTATTTGAAGAAAAACCTAATGATTTGGAAAATTATTTAGTACAGATCCCCAGGTGCGAACGTGTCACTTTAGCACTCGGTCGATTGCAGCTGAAATGCAACCGGATCCAAATAGGATTATAGGTAGACGACGATCATATCTGCCGAATTTTCAGACTCATTGTCGTCTCATCACTCGACACCTGAAATGTTTGATCAAAAGATTTTTCTCGCTGCTGCTCACTGCGGGGCTCTCTCGTTTTCCTCTGCACATATAAAAGTATAAAAAGGGGTGCAAAGCAAACATATCTTTGGCGCGCCAAGTTTCTTATTATATTTTGTTGTGCGGCACAACAATGTCTGCTCCAGCCGAGGAGAGCAAGTAAAAAGCAGTTGCGCGTGTTTTTGTGTCTTGTGCATGACAATGGGGAAGGGGGTTGACGTGAGTCACCCCGCCGCGAGTGAGCAACAACCCCCGTCGCATCACCCTCGAGCAGTCTCGAAAAAGCAGAGCAGCGACGCCCAAAATCCGTCCAACGAAAAATTTGCTTACCTGCTAAGTAACTATTTACCTTGCGTGGAATTCTCCGCGGTGTTTTCTTCGCGTCTTTTTGTCCACAATTTACGCCTGAAGAGAAAAGCATCAAGCGCAGAAAATGTACACAGCCTTTAGAATTGAAGTTTTTAGCGTCTTTTGTTACTTCAAAAATGTAAAGAGCACAAAGAACCACTTTTTAAAAGAATTCCAACTGAACCAAACTAGGAAAAATAAAATATTTTTAATTTATTGCGGTGAAAAAGCGGAGAAACCAATAAGAATTTCCACTATTCTTATGATTTTATTTTAACAATGTTTGTCTTTAAAAATTTTGAACAAATTTTTTTTCCCACCAATATCCTCTTGTTGTGAGAATTCTGGTAATTTTCAGCATCCAAGAAGCCTCTAAACGTCAAACTGTGGTGCCATTCTCGGCAGAAAATGATCGAGCACCTCGTTCAGCGCTGTTTAATTAAAGTTCGCACGCGTTCTTATCTGGGCAGTCATTCATCACGAACGCAGCGATAGAGGCGTTATGGAAACGACGCTCGGCGCTGACACTCTGTCCCGCCTTTATGCGCACTTGAATCTCTCATTGTCCACGCATCCCGTCGTGGCAAATGCGGTTTACAGCGTAAGACGCGTGGAAAATTCGCCGGCAATGGATCAAAAGCTGCACTGCGGCCCCTCTTGAACCCTCCGCGGAATTATGTCGTAAATCAGCGTTTGATGCTCCCCACCTTTATCATTATTATTAGTATTAAAGGGATGAAATTGGTCTTTCTCTGCGCGCTCCACAATAACCCTAACGTCCAAACGCTGCAGCAGCTATATTTTCCCTCCAGCTGTGTTGTCTTTGCGAAAATCCCCCTCCTGCTGGGGTGCGCCGTATATAGAAAGTATAAAAAATCTTCCGAAGCGGTAATAAAAGTCATATTTGTCATGCTGAATTTTTTATCGAGCGGAGACGCAAAGACGCGGAAATAAATTTTTCAGCACAACGCTCGCATGGTTCTTATTGCTGCTGCTTATCTGGCGAGACGCGTGCTGATTCCGAGAGAGATAAAATTAAAATTATATATATTATATAAAATGTGTTGTGGAGGCTGGTGAGCGAGGGTGTGTCTTTCAGAAGCGTAGGCCGATCTAAATAAATATTGGCAATCTCTAGATTTCTCCCACTTTAATCTTATTTCCAATCTCTGATTTATCGCAGAGCAAAAACTAACCGCACGTGCAGAAAGGGCCAAATTGCAGGCAAGTCGGCGGCTGTAAAAATTTAGAGCAGTAAAATAAATCAGGCCGCGCTCTCAAGATAAAGAATTGGCGGAAGATATTGCGGGTAAATTCGCGTCCCTGACTTGAAGAGGTCGGGGCGAGATCTTTTGGTTGGGTGGCGCGTCCCTATCGTGGTCAGAGTGTGGTAAATTCTTGGCATAATTCTATACACTCTTGGAAAGCATCTCCCTTTTGGCCACTCTCGTCGTCGCAGTGCTTTACAAACAACTCCGTCTAGGGACTCCTAAAGGGGCGCATCCCTTACCTTGGGGTGCGAGCAGGAGTTGCTCCAACACCTAGAGCGGTGGGAAAATCATCGATACCCCGCTGGAAATTTATGGTCGACGTAACCTTGACATTTGGTTGGCACTAGAAATTTCCTTTTTCGTTCCATGTGCGCGCTTGAAAATAAAGATTCTTTTATTCGATAAGGTGCCAACTAAAGGAGATAAAATATAATGAAAAATATCGACTCTATCAATAAGGAAAGATTTTTTTTTTTTTTTTAACAAAAGACGTTTATTTTTTCTCGAAGAATCCTATATTTTTAAAATTATATAACTTTCTTGTCTCTCCTATACAAGAAATAATCCCCGTATTTTTTTTTTTTTTTGCAACAAAGTCAATTGGATAAATTCAGAAGTGCCTTCAGCAGGGCGTTGAAAAGTTACGGCCCCGAGTAATGAAGTAATAAATCGAGTGAATGGATTTCACGAGCCAAGTGTGCCTCGCCCGAGTAAATCGCCCAATGGCGCCTGCAAAGTGCACCAACTTGGCGGCGCCACGGGGGTTGACACACTGCTCGCATCTCAAACAAAAGTATCGCATTTCCCTCGGAAACAGCCCCATCAGCCAACGGAGCGTTTTTCTGCAGCCGGTTTTGTGGCCACGCGGACAGAAGTTGTACTCATTTTTCAATGTGACTGCAAAGAGAACCACCCACGCGCACCTTGAGCAGACGACAATAAGAGGAACAACTTTGTGCGAGGCAATTTGCTCGGAAAGATTATTTGCAGACCTTAACCCGCTCTCATTCATGCAAAGCCGGTCATCCATTCAGAAAGCCGGCTTGTTACTGCAGCACTTGCAGAATCGAGTTGCGGTCATTAAGTCATTACCGCACATCCGCCC